TGCTACTGTCACTGCTCCTCCTACTACTACCGTCACCACCACCACTACCACCACGACAACAACAACAACTACCCCGGGGGGGGTTGGAGCGAGGTATGCCCCCCCAGCAGAGCAGAGTGGAGACAGGGTATTATGGGGAGCTGTGGCTAATTGAAGGTGATAGGAGTGCGGAAGAGCTACCGGCGCTCCTGATCCCGTTCGGGAAGAAGGTGGTGGCCGAGGCTTGTAGTGCAGTTTTTAGGCCTGGGCCGAGGGCGACAACGACGATGGTGACGGTGGGTGGGGCGGCGACGGAGACTGTTACGCAGACGGTTACGGAGACGATGTAGGGGGTGTAGGGAGGTGCGGAGACGGAGGCGGGTATGTGGGGACGGGGGTGGTCAGTTGAGGGTGTAGTGGGGCCGGGGGTCGGAACGGGGGTGGTAAGTTGAGGGGTTGGGTAGGGGATCTACGGATGTGGGCTGGGATGGGTACTGGGATGGGTACTGGGGTAAGCATGAGGGAATACCCGGTGACGGAGGAGGGGGGGTGTTGACGTTACGGTAAATTAGAGTATGTAGACGTCAATTTGTAGAGTGGATTTGTAGAGAGTGCATGATGTAAATATCATGTAGGTACTCAGATCTAGCAAGCATACATGTATGTATTTACATGTAGTTAATAATTAACTGTAGAGTACCACTGTATCCTTCACCATTCCGATCGGCCATGGCCATCTAGACAGCCAGACAGACAGTGCATTTGTAAACCTCATACGTACTCTACAAAAATAGCCCGCCCGCCCTACATGCCGAACAAACACTAACGCACCAATTCTTCTGCCCTGGCGCGGCACCCTTGCCTTGGCTGTGCTCTAGTAACAATTAACAATACAACATCCCTCCCGGCCCTTGTCATGGCCAATCACTCGCCTACCCACCCACCCGCTGTACCTCCCTCTATGTAGCACACTCCTCTTCAAACGACGTTACGTAGCTGCCTGCGCGCGCAGATCATTCAGGCAGCGGCGCTGCATGTGTGTATGTATGCACAACACTTCATCGATACCGCCCGCCCGCGCGGCCGGTAGGCGGCAGTGGCAGCGTGGGGGGTTCACTGCGTGCTAGTACTGGGGGTAAAACACCTCCTACACTAAGTGGTATTACTATTGTCGCGAGTTGTGATTCTAGTTCCTTCTACGTACCTACATGTACTATGGAGTAGAGAAACTAGAGCGGCCGGCTAGAGTAGGTAGAGTGGGCTAAAGCAGGCACTCTACTCTACAGGCGGTACTTTAACAGGTCTACCTATGTAGATACCGGGGTTCGATTCGTGAATACTAACAGTAACTGCGCGATATAGACCATTGCAACGGCAGTCCTCGAACACCAATATGCAGTTAAGTTTCTCCGTAGAGTATCCCTGCTGTGCCGCAACGATTTTTTCTCAGATACTGTGGCTACCCTCCTCTGCCATACACACCACACACCACACACAGTACCCTCCAGATCAGATCAGATCTGATCTGATCTGATCCGCCGACGACACGATGAATCATGACTGACTGCTGCCTTACCCCCCCCCCCTCTTTTCCCCCGGTCTACGTCTACCCAGCTAGCCAGCAAGGTGTACCTACTCCATAGAGTACCTGTATGCACCCACACGGGCTGGCCAAGGAGAAAAAAGAGACAGAAAAAAGAAAAAGGAAAACGAGAAATGTGCATGTGTCGGTGTGCAGATGTGCCAAGAGTGATTGACACCCACCTGCATGACCGGACATCGGGCCGGGCGGGTGGCTGTGGCGGGGGTTGGGGGTTGGGGGTGTGAAGGGGCGAGTGATGGGTTGTGATTGAGGTGTATGTAGATTGGCAGTAGTGATCCTCTGCAGTTGTATCACCGGGCGGTAGTGTATGTTTCTAGCAGGATGGTATTCTATAATGGCAATATCTACATCTACATCTACATCTACATCTACAACCACATCTGTAACTACGCATCGGGATCCAAGTTCTCCACGTCCCGCTCCATCTGCCACTTCCGCACCTGCTCCATCAGCGTCCCCAGCGTCAGGCCCTCCATGCAGCTGGGCAGATCGTGCAGACTGAACCCGCAACGATGGTCCGTAATCCTGTTCTACACACAGTCAGTCCCAACACACCATTAAACCCATCCAAAAGAAAGAGAAAGCATACCTGGATGTAATTATACGTCCGCAGCTTATCCGCCCTCCCGGCATTAACCTTCGCCACGCCCCTCCTCAGCGCCAGCTCCTCCGCCTCCCTCTCCGCCCTCCTCACCGCCGCCACCCGACTCTTCAGCACCAGCAGACACTTCTCCCTATTCTTGTGCTGGCTGCGCGAGTCCTGAATCGCCGCCACCAGCCCCGTTGGCAGATGCGTCATGCGCACCGCCGAGTCCGTCGTATTGACGTGCTGCCCGCCCGCGCCCCTCGCGCGCATGATATCGATCCTGACATCCTTCATGTCGATTATACTGTCGGGGTCCTCCTCGCCCTCGCCGGGCTCCATGCTCTCAAACGACGGCAGCACCATCACCGTCGCCGTCGACGTGTGCGTGCGCCCCTGCTTCTCGGTCGCCGGCACGCGCTGGACACGGTGGACACCGGCCTCGCCGCGCAGGGCGTCGTAGGCGCCGGGCACGTCGACGGAGAAGATGGCCTCGGTGATGCCGTCGCCGCCCTCGGTGGTGGGCGTGTGCGAGACCATGGAGACGGGCCAGCCGCGGAGCGTGCAGTGGGTGGTGTACATCTTGAGGAGGTCGTTGGCGAACAGGCTTGCCTCGGAGCCGCCGGTGCCGGGGCGCACCTCGAGGAGCGCGGGGAGGTGGGCGAACGGGTGCGGGGGCACGAGGGTGCGGGTTAGCGCTGCGGAGAGGGTTGAGAGGGAGTCTTCGGTGGTGGTGATGTCGGCTGCGGCTTCGGCGCGGAGGTCGGCGTCTAGCGTGCGGTCTGTGACGAGCTCGTGGAGCTCTTTCAGGTTCTGGAGCTGTTAGTGGGGCGGCGGGGAGAGGCCAAGGGGGAGAGGTACGTTGAGGGCGTCTTCGTAGTCTTTCAGGGCCCGGCTGACGCCCGTCAGTTGCCCGACTCGTGTGGCCGTCTTCTTGTTGTAGTCGTCGCTCAGCTTCCTTTCGAGCTCTGCGTGCTCCTTACTCAGCTGCTGTGCGCGCCGCAGCAGCCCGCCGGGCAGCCGTGTGATTGCGGGTGAGGAAGCTCCGCCGGCATCTTTGCGGTTTGCAGTGGTGACGTTAGTTTCCGTTTTTTTTTTTTTTTTTTTTTTTTTTATTTCTGCTTCAGTCTGTGTGCAATTGCAATTGCGGACGGGGCGTAAACATACATACCAGTCGATTGGAAGCGCAACTGCGGGCGGCGGCGGTGTCGGGCCAGTTGCCGTGTGATGCAGCGGTGGCAGATGTACGACGCTGCTGCTGCTGCTGCTGCTGCTGCTGCTGTGGGCGGCCGCAGTGTCGTGGATAATATCATGGTTAATGCGGTATAACTGCGGTGGAGGGTTTTGCGGTGTTTTTGGCTGGGCATGTTTTTTTCGGTGTGCAAGGTAGGGTAATGATCGATTGTCACTAATCTCAACGGGGCTGGTCATGTGACTGCCCGGTGTGCCGAGTGATGGCCTGTGCAGCAGTTTGTCTCGGGTGCGCGAGTATCCGGGCCGGCCCCCTTTTATTGGCGGTGGGTGTTGGGCGGCCGCGGGCGGGTGCGATGTTGTGATGCGCGTGTTTGGGGTGACGCTATGCGCTGAGTGAGACTTGTTAGGGACATAAGGATAATCAATTGTCTGCTTGTGAGGATATTTACCAACTATTATATACCGCGCGAATTGGATGCACAGAGAGGCTGTCATGTTGGAAAACCGTAAAAACATACCAGCCTTTCCACAACCACCCCAAGACATCCTGGGTTGAGTAGACAGCTAGGACATCAAGACTTCAGAGAAGCCAAACAAGGATCAAATTAATTCAAGGTCCCCGGAGATACTGATCAACAGTGCATGATCAGACATTACTCTACAACTTCCCAGCTGCAGTCGATCCTCAAGCTAACCAGCAACCGCAGTGATGATCGAACGCATGGAAATTAAAGAGAAGAGTCAAAGGGCCTCCTGTCTCTTTATATAACACCCCATGCGGCCAGCAGACACGGGTCCTCTTGCACAACAGCCAGATGGCTTCTACGACAAAGCTGTACGTGTACCTACATGTACCTACTTGTTAAGGGTTAGGGTTCCGTCACAGCAGCTAAATCGAAAGGATGGGGGGCTGCATGCATGCATACATTATATATGGATCATAAAGAATCACTCACGACACTTAACGTCAGACGTCACTTGAGACCTCGACTGATATAACGGTCACTATATCAGTTCTTTGGCCTAAAGCTAATTTATAGGTTTTGTTTCTTATATGCTCGACTCATGAGCTCGAGTAGTACTGGATCGACTGGATTAAGCGCATCCGAGCTATGTACAAGTGCTTATATAGCCTATTATCGTTATATTACGAGCTAATCGGGCTGTGAATTGTTTGTTCCACAGGCTGGAGGTTAAGGTCAACACGACAGATATCTTCTCAACCCTATAATAAGGCCCTAATATACAAGTATATATGTTAGCTTCCAAACAAACAACCAGGCACCACTCTCAAAGACCCATACGACAAACAAACAGCGACCATATATCTAATATAACTCTAGCTATTAGCACTTGTCCAAGCCAACTACCAACCCCGGCACAGTCTATAGTTAGCAAACCCGCTTTGACCCCCTCCGATCCTCCTCAGGCCTCCCTCACTTGGCGCCAACCCTCACCCTGAACCTCCTATCAAGCCTCACCTCACTCATCCAAATCACCACCAAAACTAAATCACCAAACAACCAACCAAACACTCCCAACTCCCCACACCCTCTACCCCCCCCCCCCCCACACACACACCGCCCCCCCACAAAGAGCAGCCACTCACCTACCCACCAAAACACCACTACCATAGCAGAAATGGGCAGTCTCTGCGGCAAACCGTCCCCCACCGGCACCCCCGCGCGCAACTCGTTGCTCCCCACGTTCGCCAGCGGCTATGGAGAGCTAGACAACGGGGAGCAGCCGGCGCCGCCAAATGCGAGGGTTGCGGCCGCGGCGGCGGCGGAGGTATGATCTTTTCTCCGTGAGGTGATGGATGGGTAGTGGCTGATGTGCTGGGGGGAGTGTAGAAGCGAAGTACGAGTACGGCGCAGAAGGGCAAGCGGGGGCAGCAGAAGAGGAAGACGGTGGTGAAGGAGGGTGGGGAGGTGAAGGTGGAGGGGGAGGTGAAGGTGGAGGCGGAGGGGAAAGAGGGGAAGGAGGTGTGGGATTAGGGGTTTAGCGGATTATGGGGAAGGGGGTGTCAGATATTGGTATTTGGGAACCGGGGGAGGGGGGTATTTATATTTTTTATTTTTATTGTTCTCTGGGAATTATCGGTCTCTCTTTCGTAATGTTTAGACTTATTATCTTTTTTGGAGTTAGCGTTATATATTATTTAGAGCCGGGCACGCACGCATGCTGGGTGTAATCGTTCGGTTTGGATGGTTAGGTCTCAATACGTACTTTAAGTATCGATCGAGTAATATTACTAGGTGTTATGATCACTGGCAGTAGTATATATGGTAATGGATAGTCTCGTGCCCAGCCTGTGGTGTGATTTCTGTAGTCTGCAGAACGAGGAACGAGTTGACAAAAGTCTGGGCACGAGACTAGGTAATGGCCCATGACTAGTCCATTGGTAGGACCCGGCTGGTCGAGGACGTACTCATGGGTCGTGAAATTTAAGGTAATATTCGTATAGGTTGTATCAATGTTCTGTGGTCGTATCATGACCAGCAATTAAGTTGAGAAAACATTCAGTATAAAGTAATACGACCCTTCTTGGTACTGATACGACCTACAAGCATTTTCCGGCCTTTGGCCGGAGTAGGAACTGTTATGGCTTAAACAATATCAGTTTACCAACGCTTAAGATCACTGAAACCCCAAGATGCCCTGTGCACATATCTGATATACTATTTGGTTGACTCAAGGTATGTTGGAACCAATATCTACTGGCTGACTCAAACATATTTGATAGGATATCTACTAACTCCAACATATTTGATAGAATATCTACTTACTGACAAACATATTTGATAGAGAAAAAGAAAACCCCTCAAACCTGGCCAATCAAAACCTTTAAATAACACATTGCATATCGGTATATCTATATACTTATTAGATAATATGATCGACCCCAGTCTTATCAAAATCGACACTACCAACACTGGCTATGAGAATGTCTGAATTGGAGCTAAGCTATGCATGTAGCTATATAGCTATAGGAAACTTGCTTAATTTGTAGGGTATCTAACGATTTGATCTTCGTAGGCCTAGCTAGTTATAGCTAGCATTGACTGCTCTTGTCACTACTTCGAAACCTTTAATTCCTATAAGATGCAATATTGGCCTATAGTCCTAGAGTAGAGGTAATTATGAAAGCAGCCACTTTGAGGACTATAAGATCGATTAGTATTGGCCCTACAATCAATGAATTGGAGAGCTTACCTATCCTGTTAATTAACCAACTTTCGGATTTCGAGTTCTTTGATATAATGAGTGATTATTTATGATTCGCCTTGCTCCCCGGGGACCCAGTAAGCTAAGGTAGTATGTATAAACGTGAGAAAGAATGTCTTTATAATGGAACGGCGGGTACAATCTTCACCTGATTGAGAACAGCTATTGTATTATCTTGAAGTGCTACAACGTAACACGTCGCATCGTAGCACGTCGCACGTCGCATCGTAGATAGAGGCCAACCAATATATTGACCAACTAACATTTGTCGGTTAATTTGAGGCTTTGGGGTTGTAAGAATGCCTACTTGTTCTTTGGGGAAAAGGACCCGTGTCTTTAAGTGTGCTAATAGAAAAGCTGAAGGAACTCCTCTCCATGATATCGATACGTACTCTGCCAGTTGCAGACATGACCAGCTCTGGTTTCTTGAATTTCTTACCTTATGGTTCGCTGCGTTTGCAATTGTTCTTATACTTATTCATGTGTTGCCGAGAATTCGTGGAACCTCAACGTCGCGGACCAACCACAGCATTGCATATATGCATACGTACTTAAGAGAGTACTCGTAACTTCCTGACGTTTTTGAACGCGACTGATATTGCATACCATACAAAAATACGCCAAGATCCTGATTTTGGGTGTATGCAATAGTGGCCCAGTCCAAAAACGCCAGGAGACTACGAGTACACACATGCATGTACCTACAGAAGTATCAACTCTGCTTACCCCACTTTACATACATGTATGTACCTCTATAAACAGTCTCGCATCAACTACTATCTTGACTGAAGTTTCGCTACGCCATACTGATAACGCGCACATGACGACCGAGGCGTCAGATCCCAATCAATACCGACTGGATGCCGAATTTCAAGGAGAATATGTAATCCATACACGCCCCGGCTTGCCTGACGTTGAGGAGCCGCGTGACCAGGAGGCTATAGATATGGTTCAAGGGAGATGGACATCCGGAGACGTTATTGGCACCGGAGGATTCGGAGTCGTTTTGAAACAAAAAATGACAGTGGAAGACTCAGAGCTGTTAAGAGGATAAGCCGGGGTGCTTTGAGTGTCAAAGAGGCTGGCCTCTCCTGGGAGCTTAGGGTATTGGCAAAGTTGAAGGACGCAAGTGTCCCCATAATATCGGGGTGAAATTTAATTCACAAAAAGGAAGAAGAAGAAAAAACTGATACCTTAGAAGTATCCAATGTTATTTGTGCGGTTTTTCGGCTGGTATGAGAACAAAATCGATATATTCCTTGTGATGGAATACATCGAGAACGGAGACTTAAGCCAGTACCTCAAGGAATCCCCAAAAAGAGTAAAAGCCGAGGCAAGAAACATCGTTAGGCAAATTCTAGAGGGACTTGTGGTCATGCATGATCAAAACATATGCCACCGTGATTTAAAACCCCAGGTGAGGCCTCCACCGGCCAGTATATATAGATTTACCTATGCGACTGATGTTAACTAATGTCCCAGAACATTTTGATCATCAGCACCGCCTCATTAATAGAGATCAAGATAACCGACTTCGGAATCTCAAAACAAGAACAAGGTACCCAACTAAAAACCACTTGTGGTACAGAAAATTATAAGGCACCGGAATTGCGACGGCTTCTACCTACGGCTCCTCGGCGTCGAAGACGAAAAGGCGAGAGCCCAGAAACTTACACAAATGCTGTAGATATATGGTCCTTGTGGACGTTGGTACATGTGATACTGACATCCGAATTGCCATTTCTCTTAACATTTTTAGATGAGGATGGAGATTGTACTGATATTACGATTAAATCGGATACCAACCACTCAAAATGGGAAGATGAACAAGATTTGGATCTTTTGCGGGATTATTGTGAGAAAAAAGAAGTATTTCCAGTCGGTAGTTTGGAAAGGTCCCTGGTAGGTAGAAGCAGTATAGATTTTGTGACAAAACTCCTTACCCGAACCTCAGTGTCGACCGTCCGCGGCAGACGCTTTGAAGAGCCCGTGGATAACCTGCTATCAACGCTTGGCAGATTTTATTAGCAGTAGATGGCTATACCCATTTCTCGGGGTCGGGATCCAGCCTCAAGAGCTTAATCAAGGAATTCTACCTTACTCGAAAAAGCCGAACCCATGGTGGAGACATTGTGTGGCCTTGGCTGTCCAGATAACATCGCAAAAGATTTGTCTATATTGACACTTTATGATATTCATTTCTTCGTTGGTATGTATAAACCTTTGTTATATATAACCTACATGTACTTTTTCTCACCCAGGGCGTAGATCCATCAAACTCAATCGATGCGAACCTTAACTCGCCGACGAGTGCTACCGACGAGTGCTACCGACAGACTCGTAGATGCACTTGAAGAAATATGCAATCTCAGCCAAATTAATAGAAGTAAACAAGATATTGCGTCTGATGATTTGCAATGGGATTATTTGCCTTGTTATATCAGTGACGTGGTTCGCGAGGGTGTAGGTTCCACGTTCCCTATAGGCAAATAGCCAGGGCGATGAAAAGACGAAAATTGGCTATGGGCAAGTTATTTATTACCATAATAAGGATTCAAACCCTAAATGTATTCACACATACACTCTAAATGCTGTCGTATCCAAACTAACCTTGCTCTAAATTCTCCTAGACCCACCCCACTAACGAGGAAACTTACAAACCCTCTTGGGTTCGAGTTGATCCTAATTATGATACTTATAGACCGCCGGACCGTTAGTGTTTTTAATATACTATCTTGCGTTCTTTAAGTTTTTCCAAAGCTTGGGTGCACGTGACTGATATCAATTGATTTTTGTGGTGAAGATTTCGGCCTCCAGTGCTCCATATTAGGGACTAGTAACCTGGGCTCAATCGCATATTTGAACATGTACGAATTACAAAAAAAATTTCGCGGACATCCGTGGGTCTATGGACTATCATATAGGTTTTTGGGCCCTTTCTTGAGAATCTTCACTGTAAACTTCTTCGATATATATGCATATAAACGGAATTACCTTCCCTACGTGCCATGGTATACTAACATCAATGATTTTTCTATCCTAGTTTCACCCCAATTTTCAACCGACAAGGCATCTGAGGATTATTGGTCTCTGGTATGTCCATGGAAATCTATCATAGTAGCCATTATGTTACCCTTTTTGAATGAATACTAATTGTTTTGTTCCTTTCGAGTACAGATGGCAAAGATTTTACTAGGCGCGATTATACCAGAGGCAAGCCCTCCCACAGTTCTTACCTTACCTACATATATAACCATCATAAGCTAACATGTATACGGGACCAACAGTGGGGGTGACGCAGGTTGTGGAGTTGAGGTTGGATCAAGTATATATTGAAATTGGATCGATATCACATGCAAATTGGAAAGAAAAAGAATGACCATGTACTAGCTTTGTATGGTGCAATATACAATTTCAAGTGTGAAGATTTCGGTTTTTCTTTTTCCTAATAACCATATGCACATCGTGCCTTTAATCCGCGAACCGAGCTCATGAAGTTTGGTTCGATCCTAGTTGTGATCAAGGCATTTTTTGTCCCCCATTATTTAACCATGGTTAATGATAGCGTCAAGTCAGCGAGCTGGTAGCTCGTGTATCCTGTAATGAAGGAGATTACGTGTTGTGATCTCTCAATGTATTAATAGCTCGTTACACTTTGTATCTGTTAAGAAATCATCATTCTTGCAATACAATACTATTCTACTAGTTAGTCATCCAACTCAGTGCCGTTGAGGGCCAAGTTCGAGGCAAGGGTATCACATATCCCTTGGTACTCAGCAGCCTGTCAACGATCAAAACCTAGGCTTCAGATTCTTATTCTTACACAAAGACGTACCATGGAGCAATAACAATAAGGGATATGTATGAAAGATATTGTCCGAAATCCTCTTGACATATATGGCAGGGTACCCATAAACTCCGGCCCTTTTTTTCATTTGACTAAATAGGCCGATGCACTTTGTCCGACCCCAAACCGATTTGTCATTATCCCACATCTACAATGCCGGAAAGGTTAGTAAGATTATAGTGGGATTCGTCATCATGCTATAGCTTGACTGTGGTAGTAATATAGCTTTTTAGCAGAATCCGTGGTAGCATGTCATGGAGTTAATCCGGCACTTCCGCATAATGTTGCGTATATCACTAATGGTGCGAATCTTATTGTTTTTCCCCGTATTGTACGTTCTGGAACGCCGCCAGCAGCATATACACAGCCTGACCTAGCCCAACTATGGTGAGGCTTGAGGTATGAACTTCTAGTCTTCTCTCTCAAAACCAAAATCGCAAGCTTTTTAGTTACAATATATGTACCCAGGATCTTTATTATTCAGCCGGCACAACATATATGACCTGTTTTGCTTCTACATACACGTAATCCGTTAATCAATCAGTCATCCTGTTTTTCTTTTGGTCCATGAGTGAGAAGTCATGATTACCAATTACAAAGCCTCGGCGGGCGCCAATTAGTACGGCGACCAATCAGCTAGTTGGTTACTATATGCCGCTTTTAGCCCAAGCCGCCCTCTCGGGAAAATACCCATGTCCGGTAACTTGTCTGCACACGCAACTTAGAAATCCCTCTAAGATACCCCAGTTGCTCGGAGGTAGGTAGCCGAAATATATTGAAGGGTTAGTATGGCGGCACGAGACTCGCTAACTACCCAAGAGATCTTTGGGTTGTCGCGTTGGGCCCATGCTTTAGAGAAATAGAGTGCCGGTACTTAGGTAGAATAGGTAGATTTGCGTATTAATCACTGGTATGTACCTGCTGCTCTGGCTATGAGCTGGGGAAAAAAAAAATCCTTGGATTCGGGACACGCAGAGATCTTAACACCGGTCCTATGATGGAGGTCTCACCAAAAAGAAATCCCAAATAGTTAATGATAGGAGGAGCGGAACGTTGATGGTGCCCAATAGCTGACCCCAAATTGCCTTGCCTAACCAAAAGAGGAGCCTAATCCGCCGCTCCCCCAGGTTTTCGGTAGAAATCTGATCAAGCTCAACCTTTTTTCAACCCCCCTCCCCCTGCCGGGTCCTCGGCACAATGCGCGTTATCCCCGTTCCTTGCTGTTCAGTTGTGAGAGTTTTCATTGTTAACTTACTCACTCTTCTCTCTTCCTGAATCTTGGATCCTACTGAGTCCGTTATTGTTTCAATCTCAGTATAGCTATCGACGAAAAGGACAGAGATGCAGATGGATCGAGAGAAAGAGCCCGTTGGCGGTACTGGTAATAATAAATTCCCAACTATGCCATTACTGAATTCGTCGCGCTTACTCACACATGATATAGATTCCACGCCTTCCTCGGCCTCATTTGAGGAGTCTGCGATTCCCCAGCAAGTTAATGATGCTATCCCACCGCCAGGCATCGATGAGCGCAAGCTCATGAGGAAGATTGATATACGGTTGCTGCCTGTACTCTGTATTTTGTACTTGCTAGCTTTCCTGGACCGGTATGTTCAAACGTCATCTTGGGAGTGCTGTTTTCTGACTCATCATAGTGTTAATATCTCCAATGCTGCGATCTTTGGGCTGAAGGAGGATTTAAGCCTAGGCGGCGTGGAGTATAATACTGCATTGACGATATTCTTCGTTCCTTATATCAGTATTGTCTCCAACACCTCCGTAATTATAGTTTATATTACTGACATCAATTGCCAGTCTGCGAAATTCCTTCCAATATCTTACTCAAGCGTCTCAAGCCTCATCTATGGCGTAAGCTCTTTCTATCGCATGCACCGCGCGCAGTATCGGTTCACTAACATCTAGTAGTCTCTCTCTGCATGTTCCTTTTTGGGCTCACCACGATGCTACAAGGTCTCGTAAAGAACTACTCTGGCCTCCTCGCCACACGCTTCTTTCTCGGAGTCTTTGAGTCCGGCATGTTTCCCGGCTGCTTCTACCTGATTGCAATGTGGTATAAGCGGTCCGAAGCGCAAAAGCGGTACTCCTTCTTCTTCGGGTCCACATCGCTCGCAGGCGCATTCGGTGGTCTCCTGGCCAGCGCGATTGGCAAGATGGAGGGCGTCAATGGGTGGAATGGGTGGCGGTGGATCTTTATCTTGGAAGGACTGCTGACATGCGTGGTGTCGTTTCTGTTCTACTTTATAATCACAGACTTCCCAGAGGAGGCAAAGTTCCTCTCGGAGGAGGAACGTGCATTCGTGAAGAAGAGGCTGCAGGTAGATGTGGGTGAAAGCGCGAGGGAGGAGAAGATGACACTCAAGGATGTAGTGAATGTCTTCAAGGACTACAAGATTTTTGTCGGCGGGTTCATGTATTTTGGTCTCATTGTCCCTGCATATGGTATTACTCCCCGCTCTCCTACCCTTACTAGCAACTAGCTGACTTAAATAAAGGATATGCCTACTTCGCGCCCACAATCGTCAAGCAGCTTGGCCACGACGCGATTCAAACACAGTTGCACTCCGTCCCGCCTTGGGCCTGCGCCTTCGTCTTTGCAATGGTGATCGCGGTCCTCTCCGATCGGTTTAAGCACCGCTTCCTCTTTACACTGATCCCCATTGCAATCGCTGTTGCCGGTTTCTGCATCCTACTCGCTGTGCACGACAACACAAATCTCCAGTACGCGGCGTTGTTCCTCCTCGCAATGGGCACATACTCAGCCATGCCGGTGGTGGTTTGCTGGTTCAACACTAACCTTGGCGGCCACCACCGGCGCGCCATTGGTACGGCGTGGCAGGTCGGGTTCGGAAACATCGGGGGCATTATTGCAACGTATTCTTTCTTGTCGAAGGATGCTCCGTACTATACGAGTGGATATAGCATCGGGTTGGCGTTCAGTCTGTTGAGCGCGCTGAGCTGTGTGATATATTATACCGCAGTGACGATGGAGAATAGTAAAAGAGAGAGAGGTGTTAGTAAGTATAGTGGCGCAACAGAGGTGGAGAAGAGGGGTCTGGGTGATGAAAACCCGGATTATAGGTATTTTAGATAAGGTGAGAATGCAGTTTGGCTGGGATACGTATTGACATGTGTTGTGACGTTTTATGTCACGGTCGTTTGT